AACTCGATAAGTCGGTCATGCATGATGGACCGACTTATCGAGAGATTTTAAATATTAAAACTGAGAAAAGGGCTTGGAAAGTTTTGGCCTTCTTAGGCCAAAAATTGAATCATCGAGAGACCGACTTATCGAGTTTGCCTGTGTATATATGTTAAATTATAGATAAATATTAATATTAAATAAATAAATAAATAATTTAATTAATAAATTTTACCTGTAACATTTTCTTTCCCATGAATACAGTCGTGTTTACTTTGAGGCTTGTCGCATGCATGGCTTACCACTCAACAGCTACTTCACTTGGATCATAACTGTCATGAATGTACGTACACCTGGATCCAGAGTGATCCCTCCTGTTAAATTATTAAATATATAATTAATTAAAGTTTAATTTAATAGACAATATAACATAATAAAAAAATTAGATCAAAACCTTTTGAAATATAGGGCCTTGGTTTTCAGCCCGAAACTATTGAGTTTCCTCTGCAACATCCTTCCGATTGGTAACCGTACGAATGAAATGACGCTTATCAATGGCCTTCAAAAGATGTGGTCTGCCAAAGCGAGGAGCGTCTGATCTCTTTCAAACTTATTTATTATGTTAATACAAGTATTTTTTTCGATGTCTGTGGCAGAGTAATTTCCCTTGTGAAGACCAACAACCATGCCACGCTCAAAATCACTTAACTCTCGAGCTTTTGTCATTTTTCACTGAAAGCCGAAGTCAAAAATAAAGAAGTTATCTTAGGATAAAAAAAACTAGAAATTGTTAGCTTTCAAACAAAAAAAAAGTTTTTATGAATTTAGTTGGATAAATTAATGCGACTTGGCAAAATTCTATTTGCGTTTGTTCCGGAATAAGTACAATCATATCTTTCTTACCGGCGCAAATAATAGTCAAACTTGAAATTGATATCAATAATTATGTTTCTCGCATACTGCTCGGAAGAGAGCAAGTGAAAGGCGGAAAATATGGCAATTATAGCGATGTAAAGCAGGGATGCTCGTAAGTGCTTTGGGCAGTGCAATTGCTTCGCAGAAAAGAGTCAATCGAATTATTATCATGTAATCATTTACTGATCAATCCACAGTTGGTAATGTACAAAAACTTTGCTGATTGAGAATTAGCTCTAATACTAAGCCCAGACTTAACTCTAAAAAACTTCTCTTCGACTTTTGGTGTCATTTAGGAGTTTCCAGGTTTACGTTACGATTTAAAGTCGCAAAATACGCAGCGCCCGAATTTTAATGCATCACAAACACAAAACACACTTATGACTATTGAGTCCTATGGTTATATAAAGACCTGCTAAATTCCGACTGTAAAATGATTGACAGCAGCATACTAGTGTGAGTTTATGCCATAGCAATAATCCCTTTCGAGAACTAGCATACGGCTTGACGCGGTCGTGTTTTAACCAATCAAATTGCGACATATATTAAATTTTGTATTCAATGGAATTTATAGTAAGATTATTAATAGTGCGGAACTCCATTCGCCGATTTCAAAATGTTATAAACGCAACCGAGTGCTATGTTGTATTTATGGGAGTTTGCAGGTTTCCTTAATAAGAAAGAAGATTTTAACAAGTTATCATAACAATGACTATTAAAAAAACGTTCTTTTTCTTTATTTATGATTTCTGCCAAATTACGTACAAAAATTTAAAAATTGTGTAAAACGAGAAAACCAGGACTGGATTCATTCTTTCTCTACACAACTGGAAATATTATTGTGTGTTCTAAGAATGCGATTCTGTGTGCAACAATATGTAAATGATGTGGTTATCCAATGCTTGGGACCAAGCAAATGTATGGCACGCCATAGTCTGAATTTAAATTCGACTTTTCCATTACGGCGTGCCATAATAAAAATGTTGCATTTAAAACTTATGGAGGTTGTTGCATGCTTAGATCGAGCAGCGGTTCGCGCTTATGGGTATTTATCCCAGGGTGCATTTAACTGTATTAGGTACTCATATGTAATAATTGCGTGTAACAATTGGGTAACTCGCGATTGGTAGCTCGAGTCAATTTAATTCTAAACAGAATAGACAAGAGATTTTCTGTTTTCTTCAATAACCGAATTCCCTATAACATCATATACATTCCTCCATTACACTCTTTTCATAACCCCGGTAGTCTTGAGGACTATCTATTTCACTCCTTTGTATAATCATATACATTCTGATCCCCTTTCCTTTCAACTTGCTCGTATTATCTTGGGGATCATTATCCAACAACTACTATCGCGAGGAACTTTATCCAACAACTACAAACACACGACACATATAATGCGGCGGCAATACTGGTTATTAATATTCTTGGTCGCCACAATCTTGTTGGCAGTTGATGGTAAGCATATATAACCTACTCTGATTGCGAACGATAATAATGGCATTGGTTTCATAGATAGTAGGTTGAAAAGCTTAAACATTTGTAATTGTGATAAACCATTACCGCTGTGTAGCTTGCTGTGGATTATGTTCGCAGCCTTTCTAGAGTATAATCATGAGGCGTGGGAAGTCTATATTATGCAATGTTAATAAGCTAGACATCAACAATTCTTCGGTCTTGAATTGATTATATTAATATCACAAATGCCGGAATGACTGTAGTTAACTCTCATACTCTTACATTTATGCAACAGTCGTAGTAGTCGGAGCGGCAGCAGGTGGAGGAACAACAGCGGCAGCAGGTGGTGGGACAACAACAACAGGTGGAGGAGGAACAACAGCAGGTGGTGGTGGAGCAGCAGCAGGTGGTGGAGGAACAACAACAGGTGGTGGAGGAACAACAACAGGTGGTGGAGGAACAACAACAGGTGGAGGAGGAGCAGCAGCAGGTGGTGGAGGAACAACAACAGGTGGTGGAGGAACAACAACAGGTGGTGGAGGAACAACAGCGGGTGGTGGTGGTGGAGGAGCAGCAGCAGGTGGTGGAGGTGGAGGAGCAGCAGCAGGTGGAGGTGGAGGTGGTGGTGGAGGAGCAGCAGCAGGTGGTGGAGGTGGAGGAGCAGCAGGTGGAGGTGGTGGAGGAGCTGCTGGCGGTAATGCTGGCGGTAATGCTGGTGGTAATGCTGGTGGTAATGCTGGCGGCAATGCTGGTGGTAATGCTGCGGGCGGCGGTCCCAAAAACGGTGAGTTAATGTGAAAAATATGTGTGATGAGAACTTGGCGGCTATGAATATATTTCTTACTTTTAAACATTTTTCATCCAGCCAATACTCCTCCTGCCAATACTCCTCCAGCCAATACTCCTCCTGCAACAGGAAATTCTACTAACAGCGCGCTTCCTGTTCTTCCTCCTACTTCTGGTGCCAATGGAACAACACTATCATGGGATGATTGTGTTGCGTACGGTAAAAAATGCCGAGATGTTATATGCGCATTCCAAAACTACACCGCTACGTGTAAAAATGGTGGTTCATGTACATGTTTCGATAAATTGGCAAGCGGATCAGAGAGTAGTATGGAGAATTTGCGTGAATTGATGGTTTTAGGTGTTGTGAGTATCGCCAGTTTAGCGCTTGTCGGTGTAAGCTTCGGGTTTTAAGAACGGAAGTTGGATAATGCAAAACGAACACGAGACGTATTCAGTGATAGATTGTATATAACTGACAAGTCAATGTTATAATCGTGTTGTAAGATAGAGATTGATCACATAATTGTAGAAGATTTTAATGAATAATTAGATTGCCCGCAAACGTCAAGACATCGAGGAATCCATCTCGACAATAAAAATTATAACGGATTTATCATCTCATAGAAAACAGTGAAAACATCTGTATCTGTTTATTTGATCCCGGTTTCTTAAAACCCAAGACTGTTCAACTCATTTTGAATTCGCTTGAATTCGGGTTCTTTGCTCTTGTTTTGTATCGCTCTCTGGCGCAGATTCTGAATACTCTTCTTTCGTTCGTAGTATTCATTGCTCTTAAGCTTTCTCTTCTCCTCTAATCTCTTAACTACACCATCATACTTCCATCCGACCTCCGTGCTTATCTTGCCAAGATTCGTGTATCGTCGACCAGGTCGAAGCCTGAGAACTCGTAAAGCAGCAGGGACAACCATACGTTTTTGTTTATCATATGGAGGCGGAATACCTTCAAAGAGCTTCAGGCGGCCGAGAGCTGCTGCCCCGCGAGGGGTTTTGTGAGAAACCATTCCGCGAATAGTTTTATAAAAAATGCGAGATGGGGCTCGGAAGTGGAACGGACCACGCGAAGGATTAACGATCATACGTTTTCGAAGGTATTTATGATATTTGACTGGAAGAAAGATGAGAAAGATCGACAGTAAGAAAAGACACAGTATTGATCCATGTACAAGTTGACGTTGTATAGTGCTGATTGCCTCATGAAACTATAATAAATTCGCAGATTCAAATAACCGAGGTGTTCATAATCTCCAAGCATTCGAATCCATAAAACTATCCCTAGTTCACATTCTCTCATCACATCATTACCCTTGCTACTGTTTCAATTCAAGCAATTCGTTCACGATATATACTCACTCTTATTCCTGAAAAAACTACCAGATACATTGATCTCTTCGGCACGAACAATGACTACGCGTTGCCCAGATAGAATTTCCTTGGCAACAATCGAGGCAAGCCGACCTAATAGATGGCCTTTTCCGTCAACAACAACCACCTGAGATAATGAAAAGGCGTCTTAATAATCAACGTTGTTTCTGCAATCTAACGCTATTTGCTCCTTCGACAGGCCTACCAATTTCCGATATTGTCATTATACCTTTTCAAAGTCGCTCATATTTGAAACGGTGTATACTGCTGTCCTTCCAAGTGAAGCGGCAAAAGAGGAAGCTCAATGGCAAGCATGTTACAAGTATCTATCGAAAAAAATTTTCGGACATGTGACTTGAGGAAATGTGACGATCTTGTATCTCCAACAGCTATATCGGTGTATTTATATAATTCGTCTTCCCAGCAAAGATACTTCATTTTATCTTTCCTCTCTCCTTTTACTTTTCTTTGTATACTCTTTTTTCTCCTCTTCCCTATTCTTTTCCTTCTCATAATGTCATATCAAGATAGAACCTTTAAAGGTGCCGTAACTACTATAAGAAACTAGAAGAACAAAAACAAAATCTTATTATTATTTTTTGTAAAAATAGAACTTACAGAAGGCATTTCAAGTATTCATTTCACTGACGCGCGACGACTGGGAAGCGGAGTACAACAGTTACAAAACAAAGATCGGGCAGCTACATGACACTACAAAAAGACTAAAGCTGCTTGCAGAATTCGTGCCTCTTTGAATTCTCTAAGAGCAACCGCACCTTCGTTATCAACAAAAATACCTTCAACAACAACCACACCCGCAATCTCTTTTGGCAATAAGTACCACAACAAGCATTACTTCCGGGTGAGGAAGAAATGGGATTAAAAGTAATGATTGAAGAAATCCACAGTGCGGTCTGTAAAAAAGAAAACAAAAACGACGACGAAGAGTCCATTGACGGAGATCCCATCGAAATAGACGAAGAAGGTCATCAACTCGCATTACCGAAGATAAATACCACGCAACATGAGTGCGCTCTTAAAATCGTTAGTTATATGAAAACACTACTATAAACCGTGGTCGGTTTTATTTTGGCGTGAATGATACATTAACATGCTGTAATGAAATAAGTATTGAATATCTTTTTGTAGGTCGACAGAAAGTCTGTTGAAGTAGCAAAGTTTTGGTCAGAGTGGTGTCAGCAATTTGGTGGGTCTGACCAAGCCTTGATAACCACCTGAAACCAGAGACTTTTTGGGTATGTTAATGTGACTCTTGTTGTTTTAATCCACTGCTACAGCTCTAATACAAATACTGCTTTTACAAATAATAGTAATAGGACGAGATCTTGTGTCATATTATATTTGCGATATAGACTAGTTTCCTACCCATCTGTTTATTGGAGCGTTATACTATTTGCAACTTTGGTTAACTTTGGCTTTGTTTACTTCTTTCAAATTCTGCCTTCCAACTATATGCATTGTGTACTTGATGTTCCAAAAAAAAAAAAAGCCAATGTGTGCTGTAATGCATACCATACCATATACATACTGTAAACAGTTGGATAAGATCTACATTATGCTCTGATCAAGCATCTCCCTACCTTTCACAAGCTGACCTATTGAAAAATTTTGCTGCAAGTGAGCCTGGTAAGTTATGGTAGCAACACGACTTGGGGGGGGGGGGGTAAAGACTTTGTGACTCAATAGTTGGGGACATAGAGTAGTGTGTACATAGTAATAAGGTAGTTGTTGGGTTGTTGTATAGCTTGAATGGACATAGTGTGTACAGTAATCATAGCAATATTACTGTAAAGGCTCAACACCTTGGCTAAAACTGTTGCAAGTTGTTTGTTAGAAGAAATGTGCAGCCCTGCACAAATTGATACATATTAATATTCTGCTATTAGTACTGCAAATCCATCAAAATTTGAAGTGCTAATGTAGATGCAATTCTTAACTTGTAACTGGGAGCCACAAAATGAAGAAAGCTTCCAAATGAAGATGACTTACTAAAAGCTATGCATGCTTCTATTTCAGATCACTTATTTAACAGAACATGGGTATTTTGTTGAAAATTATTGCATCCTCAACAGTCTACTAAAGGTGTTGTGTTTGTGCATCCAGATCAACTAAAGAAACTTGAACATTATGGGTGGTTGATGCTCATAGATTCAACACATAAGACCAACCAGTATGACTGGCATCTATTTACTCTTTATGTTTGTGATACTAATACTTATGGATGCTGGAATGTCAAAGCAAGTTGTATTACAGCAAATGAAGTTCTCCTAACAGGTGATACAGTAACCATCCTGAATACTCTATTGGTTGGATCTCCTATTACTATTGCTTTAGGAAAGGAACAAGCCAACAGAAGTTTCAGTCAGATTGATTTAAACTCAAAGTAATATAGTCAAATGTTCACTTTGTCCAGTTTTGTTGCAGTCTGCCCATTTATATTTATGAATTAATTGTTTAATTTTCATAAATAAACAAATTAAAATGGAGGATTTTGTCACAGCAATGTCAACTAGCACTTTGTGCCAGTAGGTGAAAATACTTCATATACATAGACAAGGACCATAATGAATGGAAATTGATTACATTACTAAAATGAAAGAACAGCAGAGACACAACAGACATTAAAATTGGAAGTGGAATATGATGTCTATAAAGCTAATGTCAAGCAGCTTTATGACACCAGTATAAGACAAAAGCTGCTGCTTGTCTGCTTCTGCATATTAATATTATAATTAATATTTATGTTGGGCAGTGCTAATATTTCTTTCTTAGCATCGGGATATTAAACTAACAGCACTGATAAGTCTATGAGCAAAAACTGAGCCCTCCTTAAAAGCATTTGTGATTCACTGGAGAATAGTAAACTTTGCTGGTATGTTACATAATAATACAGTTGAGCCTCCATAAAAGAACCCTCTCTATACTCTAAAGGAACAACCTCTCATAAAGAACATTTTTTCATGGAATGGATGTGATTTATTAGTAAATTTCCCATGTCAGAACGTTCACAAAAAAAACAAACAAAAGCAAGCTACAGTCAATTATTTTAATAATAAATATCCAGAACTTTATATTTCCCGCCCAACTGTCTCAAAGATAATAAAAGATAGTGCAAAATGGTTGAATATCGATACTAACCGAAGCATCTGTCAGACATAAAGCAGTAAATTTCCGCTATTAAAACAAGCTTTAAACTACTGGGTAGAGCAAGTAACTGCAGCCGCTGTCGAGTTCAACAAACAGTTAACTAAGGAGAAAGGAAAAGAAATTCGCCAAGTGCAGGAGAATGAGATGCAATTCTTAAATGGATGGATTCAAATTTAAAAAAAGAAATTAGCTCCGTGTTTATAGGCGTCATGGTGAAGCGCGTAGTATGTCAACTGAACATCTACCAGAAGAACGAAGAAAGCTGAAAGAAATTACTTCACAATTCGACCCTGCCGATGTATATATGACACCGAATCAAACGCTTACAAAACGTCGAAATGCAGGGGGAAAATTGGCATGGTATATGCTATTAAGTTTTACAGTATATGGTATAATGTTATAAATTAACACATTTTTATAGGATAAATCTCGCATTACGGTTCTTCTTGCTGCAAACTCGACCGGTTCTCACAAATTACAACCTCTAGTAATTGGACATGCAAAAAATCCTAGATGCTTTAAAGGAATCAACGTTTCAACTTACCCTTATCTACAAGTTTAATTCCAAAGCATGGGTGCGTTCGGGTATGTGTGAATCATGGTTAAGTTATATAAATTCAAAATCGACAATGCAGCTTCTCATCGAATCCAAACTGGTGAAAGTTCACTTCAGTTGACCAATATTATCTTCCGCCAAATATGACATCATGTCTCCAGCCCATGGACGCGGGCACGTAAAATACAAAATTATAATAAAGCTAAAAACTGAGACTAAATTTTGGCGGCTTTATAAAAGCGTATATTAGTACACGCTTGATACAACTCAACGTCAAAACATATCGCATTTGTGGGAATAATGGTATGCAAGTACAAAATGCCACGCTCGAACAAATATCTTGCTCACAACAATTTTGACAGTAAAAATGGTCGGCCTCACTTTCACAAGAACCCAGCGAAACTTGTAGAAGAGCAGGACTGCCAAAATTGCAAATTAACACTTTCTGGCTTAGCACAAATTGTGTGATGGTTGAGAGTCGAAGTTAACTGAACTTCAACGTGAAATTTCGGTGAAAAGGGAAATATTTTCGCTGTGTGACATGTCGGATGTGTCGGATAAATTCTGATCATCAAGTACAGTAATAGTAATAGTAATGGTAATAGTCGACTTATGTTCACGCGTTCTGTTTAGTCATCAGCTAACGTGACACATTGCGTTTCTTAGTCGCACACCAAATAATAAAAATCTTGGAACGAATTTTTTTAACCTTCACCCCCCTACATCTAGCTCTCAGGTGATCAGAGATGATGTTTTAAAGATCTCTCAAAGTCCTTCGATTAAGTGTTGATGATAGAGAACATTCTGAACAATTTCTGATATATAAGCTTTCAAAATAGTCATATATTTCCGATAAATGCACCCGCAGTGTCTTTCTTGCGCCCCTCATTCGACATTTATCTAACTTCGCAACTGCTTTAGCTCTCCCATCTTCTAGTCCCCTTTTTCTACTGCAAAGATGCATAAAGTATACGAATTTATGTCATCAGTTAATCAATTTTATCGAGAGATAAATCCATCTACGTTGTCGGGAGCCATTGATGTGATTGTAGTAGAGCAACCAGATGGGAAGTTAGCTTGTTCGCCGTTTCACGTTAGATTTGGAAAGTTGTGTGTATTAAGGCCGCAAGAGAAGAGGGTATGTTATGGGTTGAAAGAGAATTGGATTCGAAAAATATTCCTATCATATCTTAATATGAATATTATATTTATCTATCTTATAATAACTCAATTCAAATCTTTCTTATACATCATACAATCCGCAGGTGGAAGTGGCAGTCAATGACGTGATCGTCGATTTCCCAATGAAAGTAGGAGAGGCGGGAGAAGCATTCTTCATATTTGAGACAGAGAAAGACGTACCTGAAGAACTGCAAACATCTCCTCTCGCTGGGCCATCACTTCCTGCACCTAATGCAGAGGTATTATTCTCACTTGTTATAGTGTCGACTTTATGCTCCCAGTCTTATTGTTATTGTGTATCACGTTCATAGGAACCAGATGACTTCGATTTATCGGCAAGTCCAAATGATTCGAACAGTGCCAAAGAATCTGATGCAAAAGGTTATAATAATAATGATACTACTTTATCGCACTAAAGTGATCGGTAGAGGAAGTCGGTTGTATGCACTTAACAAATACTGATAATAGATATTTGCTTAATTTCACAGTTTATGAAAGTTTTTTGCCAACTATTGAATCAGGTAATAATTTGTTTGGTGAATTCTGTATTCTAAATTTCGCTTATACGATTCTATTCTCGTTCATTTCTGTGATAGACGACCATAGTCAAGGAACACTCGTAAATGATATACATTCTGCCGGATCGGTTCAATATCCTCAGCCATCTGCGTACACTTCATCGACAACATTGCCAGCGTTTAGTATTGATACTACTGCAACCCAACTTCCATTAGAAGTTGCTACGCCTACGATAGCAGAGATTAGTGATGTGACTGAGATAGAATCAGGTGAAAGCGAAACCGAAGAGATAGAAACTCAAGTGACGGAAGACAAAATCCATATGGATATGGATATAGCGACGGACCTAGATGTGGATATGAATACAGCTACGGACATGGATGTGAAAAGAGAACTAAAGAACGGGATTGACGGAAAAGGTGAAAATGACGCTTGAGAAGAATATTAGAGACAAACTAGAGATATCAATTTGCAAATAAGAATTTGTATTAATATAATGCATATTTATTCTTTTATCACCTTTATAGGACTGGATGGTGAGTTCATGAGGGAAATTAGACATCATGTTGAAAATCAAAATTATATTAATATGATGCATATCGTATTTCTTTTTTATCGCCTTTTTAGGATCGGATAGTGAGGTTATGACGGAAAATACCTCTTCAATGAACAACGAAGAGTTAATCATGCATGTAGATAGATTAGAGACCGGAATGGCCATGAAAGAGTGCACAGAGGAACCCAACTTTCTGGAGAGTAAATTCAGAGAAACTGCACATCTTGGTGAGAAACCACATTGCAAATTATGTGTATTCTCCTAGAAATAACATTTACTGCGTCACAGTCGACAACACTCTAACGATCTTTATGCTGTTTGAAGAAGCCCAGATGAATCTTATGATGGCAAATCAAGATCCCACCACGATGACAGATAAACCACGATCGATCAGAGAATGGTCACCCTTGATGTCGCCATCATCTGAGGCTCAAAATTGTTCGTGCGTTTTGTTTTATTTAATAGTAGACATAAATGTATGATTGAGCGAACTTAATTGGGCTGAACTTAGACATTGACTTGCAGTTTTGTTTTTCTATATTCACAGGGAACGAGCCAGAAGGGCCTTTTTCAGATACTGAATGTTCAAGAAAGCCTGACAACCAGTTAGTGATCAATTATGATTTTCGTGTGACAGCTGGATGCAAATTATTCTATTAATTCTTGTTTGTACAAAGACTAGAGCGACATGCAATTCGTACAAGTCCGCTAAGCGATACTGAATTAGAGGTAAACAGTCGATTCTTCCTAATGGAATATTATTTTAAACAAATCCTTACCCTTGCATCACACTCCGTTTAACCTTGCTTTGTTTCCTGTTATGCTCAAAACAGTATTCGTCAATCGTGCCTTCGCCTTCCGCCTCACAAGAATGGTCATGGGGCTGGGGCGCATTACCCGTGCGTAATTCGGACAAAATCAAAGATAGTGAGTCTAATCCCAATGGTTCGCATTGGGAAGAAGACGACGAGCATGATGGGATTATAGAGATCGGAGGACGTAAATATGAAATTGGGATATCCTTATGCGGAAGTAAAGAGTTTGGAGTCAATCAGGTATGATGTGAAGATGGAAAGAAGGGAAGGGAGGCAGAATGAAATGAGAAGTGAGTAAAGTGTGAGGGTAATGGGTAAAGAATGGTACAAAATTTATATAGGCCGATAATGAGGGCAATTGGAGATGTCAATGTTAATTGACCGTGCATTGATAATTAGAAAACAGATGCAGAGCTGTTTAGGAAGAACCAAATTTCTTATGAAAATTTTTGTGAAAATCCACATGTACTCAATGACAAAGCTCTCGTCGTAAGATACAATGACCGGTAAGCACAACTTTCGATTATTATTAATTTCTACCTATCTATCTACGACGATGGTATACTTTTTCCTACCCATCTGCGGTCATGTGCAAATCTCGTTTTTTCACGTATTATACTTCTTTTGTCTTCTGTATAGATACTATACTTGGACAACGGCGTCGCCACTACTAGTTTCTCTTCTCGCATTTCAAAAACCGCTTCCAGACTCCGTTCTTGCTTCGCTGGCCTCATCTCAGCGATCTGAAGGTCATCGTTTGTCAAACAGTCATAGGCGGTACAGTCTACGCGGATTGAGTCGGTGGTGGAGCCGTGGATCTGGGAAAGACGGTAGTGGTGTTAGGAAGATGGAAAATATGGGCGAGATTGATGAAGATAAGGTAAGAATTTAGTATATTTTGCTGGTAACGAAATAATGACAAGTATGATAGATAGGCCTGTAAAGAAAATGAATGCAAGTTTGAACTTGCATGTAACAATTGTTAATTATGCTAACCTGCTTGTGGTTTGTATTTACAGATGAACCAAATTCAACGGACTGAAAAGTTGTCAAAGAACTACGCTAAGACCTTAAGACTGACTTCAGACCAACTTGTGAGAATTTACCCACCTGAAACGGAATTTATAGTTTTTTGTTCCTTTGATTATCATTTGCGTGACAAAATAAAATGCTTATGCTCTTTGCCATATTGATGCATTGTAGAAAAGTCTCAATCTCAAAAAAGGCATGAATACAGTTTCGTTCTCCGTAACATCGTCATATCAAGGGAGAGCTACATGTTACGCTAAGATCTGCTTTTGGGATTACGACACTCACATTGTTATTTCCGACATCGATGGTACAATCACAAAGTAGGTAGAGCAATTATTATACGTTAATACATCAATAACTTTCTCACGATTATGTCACATTTCAGATCGGATGCATTGGGTCATCTCTACGCAATGATAGGACGAGATTGGACACATTCTGGTGTTGCTAAACTTTATACGGACATTCACAACAACGGATATGAAATATTGTATTTGACAAGCAGGGCAATTGGTCAAGTAAGCAGGAATACAATGCATTCTTTTTGCTAGAGTGAAATGATCGTTCATATTTTTGACATTTTACAGGCTGATTATACGAGGGACTATTTGAAGAAAGTCGAGCAAAACAAGTACCAATTGCCCGAAGGACCCGTCATAATGTCACCCGATAGACTACTAACGGCTTTTCACAGGTTGTCGCACTATCCAAACATGTCGCACTCTGTATATTACCAGTATATTTTTTTAAAACTGTAATTCAATTGTATTTAGAGAAGTAATAATGCGTAAGCCTGAATTGTTTAAGATGGCTTGCTTGCGCGATGTGCAGCAACTGTTTGGCAATCGCAACCCATTCGTAGCTGGCTTTGGTAACAGAATTACGGTAAAGATAGCGCTTGTGGTGTTAATCGAGTTTATGTAACGGGATTATACTTCGATCATCGTATTAATACTTGTCACCTTGTATAATGTACAGGATGCCCTATCGTATAGGAGTGTTAATGTTCCATCTTCGAGAATATTCACAATTGACTCGACGGGTACTGTCGCGATGGAGCTTTTGTCGGGATATAAGTCATCGTAAGTTACTATATTTAACGTAACGATCATTCGCTGAACCCATACTTTACTACAAACCCTAATACGTTTCACTACTACATCTTCACTCAGTCAACGTCAGTTATTGTCTCAACAAATTTCCTTCAAATTTATTGTTTTCATCCCTCAATTATCAATTCTCTTGTACGTGTATTAACAAATTCTATATGGTCACTCTCACTCCCACACACCCCACACATAATTCAGTTATATTGACCTTTCAGATCTGGTAGATCAGATGTTTCCACATATTGGAAGTAATAAGTGGGATACCGAATATAATGACTGGCAATATTGGAAAGCTCCGCTACCGAAGATCGATCTTCCTCCCGAATTCGAATTATCTACTCAATCCACTACGCCTGCTAGCCCTCAATCGGACGCAAATGCATCTCCAAGGCTCGGAGTGATCCGTAGCATAGCTGGAAGTATTACTCGTAGTTCGAGTAGATCTCCGTCAGCTATTCCAAATGGTAATGAGTCGAAAGAGAAGAGAGAGAAGGAGGGGAGGAAAGCGGGAAGGAATTATAATAGTGTCTACGTAGGAAATGACGTCGATATGCCAGGAAGACTGAATCTTGTTACTGCTGATGGAATGGTTGAGGAGGAAGAGGAGAACGTTGAGTACGACATTTCTGATGATGGAGACGATGAAGAATCGGAAGGAATTGAATTTGAGATCGACGAAGATGATGACGACGATGGTGATGGAGATGAGTTTAAAGATGTTCCTACTGAAATTGATTTGACAAGTTATCCATATTGATGGAGTAATAATTACATGAATTGATATTTAATTGTTAGTTATTAATATTATTAATATCTAGCTCTTATTAGACTATAATATAGAGGATCGTTGTGTAAAAAAAGCAATAATAATAAAATTCACTCAGCTATTAATACATCGGTTCATATCAGTAATAGAGATAGATAGATGGATACAGTACAAAATTGTGTATCAAGCTTCGCCCACCACCAACTACTCATCTTCATTCACATCACATTCATTGTACTACATGTACCAATAAATAATACATCATAAATTTCATCTCACTTGAAGTATCTGCCAACAATATGGCAAGTTGTACAATATGTTATTTGCATCTAAATGAAAGTGAATCTGAGACTCACACAGGAAAATATAAATCATCCGTTGTTGCTACTCCTTGTAAGTTATATTGCTTGAACGAGTGACGGGTTAATAAGGGTATGGCACTTTAGACCATTCGATCACACTTTATCGCTCATGCTATCTAAATTAACACCAAGGTGGCCATGTTTTTCACACATCCTGCATTCACCAATGGTTGAATATAAAGCCAGAGTGTCCTCTATGCGGAGCAAAAGCGACGGGGAAGAGCTTGTTGTCTTTGTATCATGATTGGGATGAGCACGAGAGGAAAGAGAGCAGATACGACGAAAAGATGAAGGTTTGTTGAAATTCACTACGAGTATATGAAGCTAACAGCAAAGAATGCTTGAATGTTTTACGGTAGTTATGTGAACTGCTGGACAATTACTTACTGCTTGATATTTGTTATTATTATCTATGTTGTTCATATTAACGATATTCGTATAATTTACTCATAATTACTCACGCTCAAATAGTTGCATTGGTTATCGCAATTAATCTATCACATATTTGTGGCTAACAGACCGTACTGTTTCAAACTAGGAACAAATCTCATCCCTCTCACATTCACTTCTCATAAAGACCCAAGAGACAAAAATCCTTGATGAAATCGTAACTATCCTCAAATTTCAGATATCTCAATACAAGGCAGCTTTACCATCAAAAACGAAACTTGATGAATATACGCAGGAAATCAAAGCTGATATGATTGCGTTAAAACAGGAGTATGATGGACGAGCAATGGAGTTAAGAAACAAATGTGAGAAGTTAAAATCAGAGAAAAGAAGCCTAAAAGGAAAAGAAAACGAGACGGTTGTGAGCAAAAACAGCATGACAAAGCTGGAAAACAGCATTACTGTCAATGACGAAGGAATGTACAGATTTGACATGTCTGCCAATAATGGTAGAAACACGGTTGAAGAAATCAGCAGCAAGGAAGATCACATAAGGAAGATAGACTTTGAAATGATAGACGTTAAACTTACTGCAGCGAGATATAAAACGGAAGACACGAAAGATGAGCGAAAAGTTTGCGAAAATAGAGATCAAGTAATGGATTTAAGAACTTCGGTGAATACGCTAGATACAAGAAATAATAAGAATCCTTGTAGTAGTAAGGTCAATAGAAATGTAAATGGGGATAATGATGACGTGGGTAATGATATAGAAAATACTAGAGATAACATTAGATACAATACTGGAAATAATAGTAGAGCGTCTAATAGAGGTAGTAGAGAATCTGGTTATGATTATCAAGGTGGAAGGGGTTTCTATAGAAGAGGCCGCGGACGAGGTAAATATGGTTATCCAAATGGTACAGGCGGAAATTATGGCCTACGGTTTGGTTAAATTAGTCTATTATAATTTTGTTATTGGCATCAATCTCCTCTGACAATCTTCAATGTGTTGCGCCATTCTTTGCAAATATATTAATATTTATAGTTAACTCGTATCGCCTGTGGATGTCAAACACTATATTCATCAATAAATGAGAGCCATTAATGTAATACAATTCGAGAATACGTCACGTGATATGCACCTGTCCCCCTTTATAAGGGTTTACAACGTCTGTGTTTGTTGGACCAGCCGAAAACTTAAATAGCCTTGCCTTTCTGATCATCGCTAGGAACATTAACTCCTCGAACTCAAGCAACACAAATAAGAAGAAAACGATGCCGAGCTTAGGCGTAAAAATATACGTTGGCAACTTGCCAGAACGAGCAAGACCGGAGGACATAAGGGAGTGCTTTGCAAAGTATGGCAATGTGGTTAACATGGAACTCAAGGGCAACTATGGATTCATTGTAAGTTTCTTTCACTCCTGACACGATGGATGGATGTATAGTAATTTGGATTAGCTCAATGGACAAAGGGTTGCAGCTCTTAAATTCAGTTGATCTATGTGCGTCCAAAGGGTCTCGCTTGCGCAAACAGAGTAGATTTTAGTTATTGTACTCTCTGAGTATCGAATGTCTTCGATCATTAGGATATACTATGAACATCTGTCTCGTAGCATCCATCTCCCTTAGCAGCTGTCTCTCACTATCTCTGTCCATCTCTCGCGGATATTACTGCTGTCTTTTTATATTCTTGAATGAGGCAAATTAAGATAATTCAAAAAGGAAATCCTTTGGGCGCATTTTAAATAGTATGGCAGAGTTTAAATAGCTCCCACAGTCACCCATAACATGTACAACGGCAAGTCTCTAACGACCACAAATAAGCATCGCTGCTTCACATGCTATACGTAAAGTGACTGTGAACTTTTCTACATGCTCAAAGCCATCTCATTATCTGATCCTAACTCAACACATTTCTACTTGACACTGCTATCAACTGTGTGTGCAAACAAACTCACAAAATAACAAAAAAAATACAAAAAGGAATACGAAGAACGTCGAAGTTGCGATGACGCTATAAGTCATTTACATGGAAATGATTTCCAAGGTCAACAGCTGCGTGTGGAGTATGCTCATGCCGAAAGGAATGATGAATATAAAAGTAGGGATACAAAGTCAACCGATGCATGTTTCAAGTGCGGTCAAGTTGGACATTGGGCTAGAGATTGTACTAGGTAAGTGATGAGAGGCGCGTGCATTGGAGAAGCAATGAAGACATTCGATTAGTAGATGAACAGACCTAAAAGGAGTTGAAGAAGAATTGGAAAAGATGAAATTATACTTAAAATCGTTGAGAAGCATCCCCTAGTTATCCATATGATTGCACGATTTTGCTTGGTGCACTCGACCGTTTTATTACAACATTCTTTCTCTTTCATTGCTTGACTATTCAACAACGTACACGAACGTTCTCAACGTTTTTGTTTTTGTTTTTTTTTTTCTTCCATAGTTCCCGAGAACCCAATAATCCACGAAAACCCCATCCTCGTCATGATGATCGTCGCCCCGTCGACAGTTATCCACCCCGTGATTCATACCCAGCTCGTGACACTTATCCGCCACGGGATGATAGATATGCTCCCCCTCCTTTAGACAGGCCATACGAGCGCTCCGCATACGATCGCTATCCTCGCGAACCCCGCGAACCGCGTGAAACACGGGATGCGAGAGATCAAAGAGACTCGCGAGACGGGAGAGATCAAAGAGATGATGGTTCGGATTACAGGAGAGATTATAGAGGACCGTATGACCGAGGATACGATAGAGAGAGAGGATACGAGAGAGGTGGCTATCCAGATAGAGATTATGATCGATATGCGAGAGAAGGATATGATAGAGGATATTATCCGGTTAGGGATGCATATGACAGAGATGGTTATGATAGAAGGCCTTTACCGCCACCTGACGCACCACCTTACTCGAGGAGGAATGCATCGCCTGGACCCAGGAGAGGAAGTTATGAGCGTGGGCCGAGGTAGGTAAACAGGTTAATGTGCAGAAAAGTTATTTGGAATGATGATGATAACGGGTTATTATTGAATAACAATAACAGGCCATCCAGAAGAGAAAACCGTTTTGCAAGGGAACCTCCTGTCCCTTCTACTTATCGGAGTGGTCGATCTTCGCCTCCTTCTCGGTATCCTGAACCACTGATGGGTCCTCCTCCGCCTAGACCACCATCTCCAAGAGGCGGCATATATAACAGGTGAGAATTTGTCACTCAATTGTGGCTATTCATAATGCGAGACTGAGAATCATATAATTGAACCGTCATTTGTCTAAATATTTTGCCATCTGCTTCTTGTCAAAGACGAAGATCAGTAAGTCCAATAAGAGGTAACAGAGTTAACATGGGATATACAGGACGTCCAAGGTCACCTAGTCCAATGAGAATTCAGCCTAGACGAGGTCCACGTACGCCAACTTCACCAACTAGACGTTGAATATATTTAGTCTTAGTTTACTGAGAGCGGGGGGTGAAAAGAAGAGATTCTACACTTGTTGCTAGCTTATTTGGATCACTTATCATCGGACATCAAATATTTGGTACTGTCTCAAAAGTCCAGCTTACCACCACAGTTATACAGACACACTTTGGCAAATGATACTTGAGAGTTTTTATTTTTATGAAAGAAATAAACGCTTGGAATATCATCAGGATACTAAATAGCCGATAGAACAAATCAACAGCGAAAGAGAGCAATTTCCAGGGGTACTCATAAAAGGCAATGATAAGAGGAACTATGGTTTGCAGAATGATATTGAGCAATCTTACAAGTCCATTTTACAGGTCAAAGTTGCCAGACTGAGAGTATGGAGCAGGGGAAAGCAAGAGAATTGAGCACATATGATTAATTATCAAAAGAGTAATTACTCTGGAATATACAAGGGAGAATGTCAAGGTTTCGTTCTATCGTGATTATGCGCTGACAGTGATTCATATGAGAAGAAACGTTCACGCCTTGTGAGACCGAGAGTGGCATCTGTAACATTCCATATCATCAATATGTAATTTTATATCCGAGCCATAATCTCTGGCTGTCTGCAACTCAGTCTCGCAGTGTTCGGTATGTGCTATCGCCTCTGTCTTTCTGCCTTTGTCTATTCTAGCCGATATATATAGTCTTGTACTGCGATAAACCTGAGATCAGAGAACATATTGATAAGAGATCAAGGGCCTTCGGTCGGAAGATTAATAATATAAAAGATGCATACATTTGAGTAATTGCCTTGGTAAATGAAGCAACAATCTAAATAATATACTCAGAGGATATATTGGTCAATATTGGCATCGCAATCCAAGACATCATCTTCTGCAAGAATTTACTCGTCTATACTGTTTCTTTGTTACGTTGGAAAATCAATTGTTGACATCATTCATTCGCCCAATGAATATGGTGTCAATCAGGGATGGTGCACTTGTGCTTATGGAGTTGGTCGGTGGCAACGATGGCAATTGTGCCATCTCCAAGCATAAAGCGTCTGAACATTCAATACCTGGTAAGTAGGTGTATGGCTTATAATAGTATTCGGTTCCATTTACCGAAGATATATGTAGCCGATCTCAAGAGAACTATGAGCCGATTTCTTTATGTGATGTTTATTATTAACATTTTGATCGGTGAATAGCATTGCATGAATAATTAACAATATAAGTTGCAGAGTCAATCCTACCTTGCCGTATTGTACTTGGTATATTTCACGATCAATGTTTCCTCTCACCGTCCGTGTTACAGTTAACCGCCGGGCCATGCTACCGCTAACGGTTGGAATGTCGTAAGGAGATTTGGTAATCAATGTCTTCTTCTGGGGGCCCAATTCGTCAAAATAGAGATGGGAAGGTATATTGGGAGCCTTCCAACATCTTTGGTTTTGGCGACATACATACCATATAGTAGGGCAGCAAGTACCGACTCGTGCTACACCGCACTAAAAGTAATAACGTACTAATAAATCTTACGTATATTATTAGGTTCAGGGAATCTTGAACTTTTCAATAAATTTGTCAAGATTTCAATACCTTCGATTGCAGTTTTAACTCTACGAGGTGTAGTTGCTAAATTTCTAAGAACATGTAAATCTGGTTTCATAGTCAATCAATGCACAAGTTACTCATTCCAATCGATCTCGGTTGTATTGAGATCTGAGCATGGAAGCGATACTATCATAGTTTGTCGGACTATTTGGCTACTTCTTTGGCTTTTCCAAAAGTCATAGATTTCTTATAGCAGCGGGGCTTGCGATGATGTCTATTATTTGTTATTGTAAATGAGTTTAAACAATAGACACGCACGATTAGTAGTGTAATGCTGATGTACAGTGAACTACTGTCTATAGTCCCTTCGTTACTGCCTATAGTCACCAATAGTTCGTGCCAAAATCCGTTTCATATGAAATCACCTTGCCTATAGTCACAATAGTCTTAAATTTGTTAATTACTCCCAAAAGTTTAGCCTCGATGTTGAATGTTCAATAATTAAAAAGGATACTTCGGCGAAGCTGGACAGCTAATAAAGGAGAGGGGAGAATTATTTGTCGTAACTTGTGCAATTATTGCCAACAATATTATCAACGGTTCTAAAGGTTCGGAACAAGAATGTGTTTAAACTGTTCTATATTGGCTTAGAAGAGTAATATTACTATGCGCAATACCACAATCTCGATTATGATGAAATCATTGATTTAGTCTATTAATTAATTTCATGACTGCATTGATTGTGTGCATGTATATGTTCTGACCCATGGATTAGAAATGAATATCCGTTTATTCATCTTTGACAATAAGATATTAATACTAATACTTGTTAAACGTACAGTCATAACGATTAATGCAATCGTTGTTTGTAGGGTGGCAGTTAAGTGGCTCTGGAACTCTAAGTAAGCAATAGGGAAGAGACCAAGTGTAGTTCGAAACCATATAATTTACAAATCTTTTTAGTATTCTCAATCATTTCCAGACACTGAACAAACAAACGATAGATATTCATCATCAATACAATCACATCTACATTCACATCTCTTTTCTCTCTCTCTCGTATAATTATCATTTATTATCATGGTCTCGATTCAACAATGGAAATTGTAATGCTTACAAAATTTGGTGTCATTGTTAAATAATGGTCATGGTATTGACAGAGATAATATAATTGACCGAGGCCTGTGTTATTATAAGAGCGATACAATTCTCTTTTTAGAAAATAATATTATATGACTTTTATTTTCAATGTTACTATGCTGGATTATATCCTATAGACAATCCCGCCACTATACATGATTTGATTCCTGTCAGCCATCACTTGCAATGCTGACTCTGCTTCGGTAACACTAAATTGGTCTTCATCCGGCAAACCGTTATTTATCTCGGCCAGCATTGTTGTCAGTATCATTTGACCATCAAACAACTCCGAAGAGGTGACATCTCCCATCCTATCTTGGAATAATTTGAACCTAGAAAAGGAACACGCCGAGTAATCAGTAAACGTCAATAAAACAAGTGGCATGTTTATTTTCATTAAAATTGCTTGTCGATTGGAAGGTAATTTAGTGTTTTTTACCTTGGTGTTTCAAAATGCGACCGTTGCTCTGAGGGACCTTGCTCGGGAATAGCATCGTTGTTGGCACCATTGGTGACACCATTGTTGACACCATCGTTGACACCATTGCTGACACCATTGCTGACACCATTGTTGGCGTCGTTGGCATCGTTGTTGGTACTGTTGGTGACATCATTGATGGCATCATCGCTGACACCATTGCTAGCATCCTCGTTGTCACCGTCGTTGTCATCGTCGCTGTCGTCTGAGTCAGATGTATCTGCAGCCCGATGACTCAGTCTTCGTCTCTTTCGTCGCACATGAGCGACAACTTCTTTGAATAGCGCGTATCTAACAATCTCTTCAGCAACTCTTGCATCTTTTTCTCCTACCACATTGCTCAACCGTGATTTTGCATGGGCTGTTGCTAGACGAATCAGTGTTTCCAATGTACGGGCTGTCATTGGCGTTGTCTGGTCAAGCGAGATACATTGTTAATTAATAAAACCAACCAAACCATTTTACATGGTAAACTAATAAGACATAGTCAATGATTTAATAAATTACCTTAGCTTGATTAGCAGCGGGATCATTATTACGTAAATCCGAAAATACAGAGACAATATAATCTGCAGCTTCGGTACTTAATTCGGGATTTATTTCAGCCTTAGCATATTGGATGTACTTCCTCAGAAATGGTGTAGTGAGGATTTCAAGATTCTTTGGTTTTTTTTGAGATGGTTTCTTCGGTTGGGTAGTCTGCATAGCCAGCAAGTTAGCATGCAGTAACTCGTTAAACTTCTCATACACTGGAGTTTCTTGTAATTCTTCTTCCTTCTCTCCCATTAGAATTCGCTCACAAGGCGTATCACTGATCGGAACACCTTGTTCTACGCTTGGCGGTTGATATCGATGCATACGAAGAACGTGATCAGAGATCATTCGATCACGAGCATCATTTATTTCATCGGTGACGACAAATAAAAGATCAAATCTTGAGAGAAGAGAATCGGGAAGGGCAATATTCTGTGCCGGGTGTTTATGAACATCATACTAGAAATATTATGAAACATTAATATTAAATATAATTGAGCATCAATCACGTTCGTATACATAGAATTTATACCTGTCCGTAAACGGGATTAGCGGCAGCAATAACACTACATCTTGCATTCAATGAGGTGTGTATCCCAGCCTTAGCAATGGTTACAGTCTGCTGTTCCATTACTTCATGAATGGATACTCTATCGATATCACTCATTTTATCAAATTCGTCAATGCAAACAATTCCACGATCGCCGAGTACCATGGCTCCTGCCTCAAGCTGTCTTTCACCCGTTTCTTTATCTGATGTGACTGCTGCAGTCAGGCCAACGCCCGACGATCCGCGACCCGTTGTAGCGATGGCAAGAGGGGCGATGTTGAGGACATATCGAAGAAGTTGAGATTTTGCCGTCGAGGGATCGCCTACCATTAGCATGTTTATATCCCTAATTGAACAAGTAGTGAGGAAATTATGAAAGACAAGAGAACAAATAATAAGCATGTATCATAGATACCCTCTTATATGAATGCCATTTGTTAAATTTTTCTCCATTCCCCCAAGAAGCATCAACAATATAGCCTTCTTTATATAGTCATGTCCAAATATAGACGGAGCAACTGATCGGGCAAGCAGATCAAATAAGTGCTTCTTGGTCCTTGCTAACTTCTTGATGTTATTAATATCCTTCTCTGTCATTACAGTCTGGCCAATGTCTTTCCCTGATAGTACGTTGACACTTTGAGCGATAATTATAGTCCTATGTGCAATAGTCGAGTATTAGCCGATAGTTAACAATATACATACAACTTAGTGCTTACGGATGTAATATGAACGAAGCGGACAAAAGTCAACCCCCCCTGTAGCATGTAGTGATCTTACCTGAATGTAGCAGAAGTAGCTCCCTTATTTCGGTTCCCCAAAGACCGAAAGATGCCGACAAGTTGAATACGATCTCCAGGCTTGACTGAATCGACTAAATCATCATCAAGGATGATATCAAACGATCTACTTAATTGTCCGACTGGCGCCCTCTCTGGCATTTCTTGGATAGAAATTACTTGATGATCACAAAAGGAACAGAATCCAAACTCCGTTGTAAGCGGATTGCCATTATCATCTTCTGTTGGATATGTAACCGTTGTCGGTTGCGAGCTACCAAGCATAGTAGAATCTCGGTATTCTCTAGCATAATAACTTCCGGTTTTCTCGCAATGATGGACGCTTTTGACTAGTTTGGGGCGAACGAGGCCACCTAATAAACATGGATTATAATAGTTAGATCCCCAAAAAATGCCATAAAATCAGACCAATAAAAATACCAATCAAGCAATAAACTCACATTTAGTGACAATACCCTCTATACAAATCAACTGTCCCAGATAAATGGATCTCAGCGTTCGTGGACTGACGTGGTTAGATCCAAAACTTCCCTTGAATCCAATATGAAATTGTTGGTCGTCGTCGATCTGATGTCGTATCGGATGTTTGACATGCTTAATTACTTCTTTTAAGGCCTGTTCAAAGGCAGGAATCGTTTCGTTTGGTATTGTTTTCGTTCTGTAAACGAACAAGATCAGAAAAATCTAAATTCAAACGTTCGTCGACAGCATAGATACATACTCTAATGCCTTCTCGGGATTGTATTCGCGTAGATCATCCATACTGATAATAAGGCGTCTCTCATTTCTGTCAAGCATTTGTATTATTTCTTGTTTATAGGACGCTTTGGAAACCTAGTAAATTTTCATTTGGTTTTGAATTCTAATTAAAGAATAATGTATGGTAAATTTGGAGAGGGCATTAAATGGACTTTGTCGTTTAATAGCAGTGACGGGTCGCCGGCTCACTAGTAAGGACAACAGGAAATTGCCAACCGATCACTCAATGTAATTACACTTAGAGTATAAACTGTATGGTTATTTGCTTAGTATGGTGTACATTGCTATGCGCAAGAATGTTCCTTCAACTTCTATTGACGACAAAGAGTCCTCAAATAACAGTAAAGGATACTTCAGCCTCCAGAAACTCTATATAAAAGCCAACACGCTCATGAAAGAGCTCATCTTCTTTCTTCCTTTCATCGATAGAAAACGCCATAATAAGTGAAATAAAAAATTATGTGCACAAGCACATCATTCTCCGAACGCGACACATATTAAGTCAATTGACGCGTTGTAACACCATTTTCAGTCACATGATAATGATGGTTATGTTGAAAATGTTTTTCCCCGTGGAAGGAAAGTCAATGACCGTAATATTCAAATACCTTGCGTTGGCTTCCTAAACTGTAAAGCGCTTACTGAGGGGTCTATTGTACAGAAAACATCATCAGCATATAGGGCACGCTATATTTGCTCGGAGTGCCACGAACGGCAGGGCGGACATTTACATTACAGGCCCGGTAGAGGCCACAGCATTGTGTCATGTCACGAACTTGGACAACACGACAATGACAACAGAAATGCTATAAAACGCTATGGAAATTGGGTCGTGTCATTAGCAGAGTTTGATGATGATATGCTACAAGAAAGATTTCTATCGCTACTGCCTCAGATGTTTACGATTTTCGATGAACCCTCGAAGACGGCTACAGAACCAGAAAAGCCATTGAGCGAATTGTCCGTTAAGATTGCGTTGAAACTGGGTGAACAGGAATTGAAAAATCCCATGGAAGAAAAGTCTTACATGTACAATTCAGAAGACGTTCAAATAATGGGAGAAAAATTAGGCACAAGTATTTTGTCTTCACGTTCTGAAATCAAGCAAAATATAAGCCAATCAGAAGAACCGAGTTCATACGAGGAATATTCTAAAGCAATGCCAAAACCATTCGACACAAATCATGTAACAAAAATAACGACATTATTCGCATCCATGTTGCTCACGATAACCTTTCCTGGAATGAGGATATGGCTCACGCACATCATGTCTTCACTATGTCAGAAACCAAAATTGCTGCCACATCTGCGCGAGATTCTCTGTACTGCGGGTATTGTTTCTTATACTAGACAGCATGAAAGCAATCTTGAGCGTTACAGGATGATCCTACGGTCAATATAATTAAAGGACCAGGAATATTTAATCTGGCAGTAATCGACAATATAGACTTTAAGGCTGCTACATTTGCACGAGGGAACATATTTGACATGGCAAGACAAACTTCACATGCATTATTGCGCATGTTGTTTCAATTCACTCTTCCTGAATCTTTTGACAACGTTATGAGCAATGAATCGATTCCGTTATTTGGAGAATCTTAGGTTACCAATAATTTTCTACAAAAATATGAGACAATGTTCAATACAATGTTAAAGGATTATGGACACGAATTCGATACAGAAGTGCTCTCAGAAATTGCCAACCAAGTAGGAATGGGCTGTAATATTCCAAAACCAAATGGTGTAATATTAGAACCTGGCAACCCACCAAATTGCGATGACAATGTTCACGGTGCTTGTGAAATTCTGTTCAAGAATACCCATGGGTATTTATGTTAATTATATGTTAATGAACAATTCAAGGCGTCCTGAAGCGACATTTTGGGGTCTTCCTCTGACCACTTACAAAGACACATAAAAAAACCGGATAATATGGGCCAGAAAACATCTAAGTGGTAACAGTTCTCACTGGATGAAACATCCGTTCAGCTGAAACCTCCCTCTCCTCCTTAATTTAACAATGGTATCGCACCCTAAATAGTATTGAGCTGTTGGTGCTAAAAGGTGTCGGCGTGTTAAGCAATCTGACCGGCACCACTCAGCGCCATATGATAATAATAATAAGCTGATTATTGTTTAGCACTTTGTTATTTTGTACCGCGTTTTGGTTTCTGATAGATTATTTCAATGTCCAATAAATTTATTGAGAAATTTTCATGCTAGTTATGCACATAATATAAATCTCTCCCTACGCTCAGGTGTTTACAACGTCTGCTTCGATTTCCATTGATCGATTAATATCATTTCGGGCTCTGTCATGCAACCCGAGTTTGGTAAAAATATCTCCTCTCACTCTAAATGCCCACGAATCGTTAGCTTTGATATCCAAAGACTTATTAAGATCTTTCAACGCGTCGTCGTAGCGTTGAAGGTTGAAATAGACGGCTCCTCTTAGACTCAACGCAGATGCATTATTCGGTTCAAATTCCAACGATCTATTGAGATCGCTCAGTGCCAATTCGTACTGACCAAGAGCGTGATAAACATTTCCTCTTCTCCTCAATGCCCAGATATCATTCGGTTCAATCGTTAATGATCGGTTGAGATCATATAAAGCATTGTCATAACTCCTTAGTACGCGATATACGTCTCCCCTCACACTCAATGCTCGTGCATTGTCGGGCTCAATATCCAACGATTTGTTGAGATCTTTTAGTGCATCATCGTACGAATCAAGCACGCGATAAATGTCACCTCTTCGTTCTAACGCCAATGCATTAACTGGTCGAATCTCTATTGATTTGCTGAGATCGGTCAATGCATTTTTATATTGACCAAGATTATAAAAAAAATCTCCTCTTATTGCCAATGATTCTGCATCATCAGGTTGGATGTCCAATGATTTAGTGAAGTCATTTAATGCCTTATCAGGCTGACAAAGTTTGTAATAAACTTCTCCTCTTCTTTTTAATGACTCTGCATCGTTAGGTTGAATCTCCAATGATTTATTGAAGTCGTTTAGTGCACTTTCATATTGACCAAGATTATAATAAACTTCCCCTCTTCTTTTTAATGCAAATGCATTAGACGGCTCAGTATTTAATAATTCGTTGAGATTATTTAGGGTATCCACACCGCCGTCCTTTAGGGCGACTAACTCGGGTAATAGCTCTAACCTCTTGCCAACTTCTTCTACGTGTGGTCGCTTTTCGGGAGATTCATCCCAACAGTCCGTATATAGTTTAACGTATCTTTCAGGCGTTTCCTTAGAATGGCTATCTCGAGAACCCTGCACTCTATATACAGTAATATCTACACTTCGGGTAAGACCTCCGCATGGGATTTTTCCAGTAGATATTTCCCAAAGTATTACCCCAAGACTAAAGACATCGGACTCCTTTCCGCGCCTATATTTCAAGTTTTGGATAGATCCTGGATCTATGTATGCCAAATTTCCAGTACCATTTGAGGAGGACATTATTTGTCTTAGGATGCTGGACAAACCAAAGTCGGTTATCTTTGCAACGCCTCCTTGGATAAGAATATTTGTAGCAGACTAAAATAAAAATAGCAATACAGCTACTTGCATCAGATTATGGTTAAGACTCCAAATGCACGGGGAAATAAATAAGAAAAATGAACAATCCGTACCAAGTCCTTATGAATGATATTTAAGCCGTGTAGATGTCTTAGCCCATTAGTAATTTCCAAGGCTAATTTGTATTTCTTCCTCCAATTTAGATTAGCATGTTTGGCCAAGTATTCACGCAAGCTTCCACCGTCGGCAAATTCCAAAATCATGTGATAATGATCGGATTCATCTATGGAATAGAACAGGAGGTTACGACTCTGAATAACTCGCTACTACTGTTTGATTAAGCATAGCATGACGCCTATTTTACTTCGAGATGAAGCACTCTACCTCTGTATAGCCCTAAAAATTGAATAACATTCGGGTGCTCACCCACCTTCTGATGGTTTCTCAACTAATTAATGGCGTAAATTTAGTTACATGACCAAAATATACCCGTTCAGCAGTAACGAAAACGCAATAAAGACAAACAACAGTAACCTCTTTGACAAATCTCTTATAGAAGTCTTGCTCGGTTCCATATTGATCCGGAAACGAAGTTTTCATTGCAATTTGCTGCCCAGTCCCTTTCACCGTTGCTTTGTACACCACTCCGTATCCACCATGACCAACAGATCTGCGGTCTATGATAATCTCGTCTTCTGAATAGCACCGTATTGTTCCGTCTCGAATGCTATTGTCTATCCATGCCTTATTATATATGTGTTCTTGAGACATAGCAATAGTAGTAATTCTTTCGTTAAGAATTACTCCGAGGTCTAATTATAATGATGTCAATATTGATCATTGTGAAACTATTAAATCGAATTACGTCATGAGGATAGGCACCATAAAAATAAAGAATTATAAACTGGATTGAGTTAATATTAATACACAATCACCATAAAGTGTCGAATCAGCTAGTAAAATGTATGAAAAGTCTTTATTGAAAACCGTTACCACCACACGTATAGTTAATATACAGACACAACCAGCAACCAGCAACTAACAGCGTCGCTAACCGATTTCTCACTGTTTCAATACAATCTTATTGTCTTATAGTAAGTTGTCTCTGTTTCGCACTGTTAGCATTTACTTAGAAATTAATAATTACTCGGCTAACTTCAAATAAATAACCGATTTCTCTCAGAATATAACAACAAAATGTTCAGACAATTGTGGATGTTAATTGTTCTCCTCCTCACCAATTGGTGTATACAATATGTTATCAGTTTCGAATATAACAACAAAATGTTCAGACAATTGTGGATGTTAATTGTTCTCCTCCTCCTCGCCAATTGGTTCGTATATGTTATCAGTTTCGCAAACGAAAAGCGCCTATTTACTCTTTGCTAGTCACAGTTTTAATCATTCTCAATGGCTTGTTTCTTTTTAGTCGTCGGTCGTCGTCCAATGGGCCGGACTCCAACAACTCCTCCAACCATAATCGGATTATTGATTATGATCACCGCTTTCTTCCGTAGGCAAAACGGCAACAAATTGTTGCCGAATTGTCGAATGTCTTTTAAGAGGGAATACTGTAGTGGGTACGAGGGTACGAGGGTACATGTAACAATTGGGGTGATTTATGCACTTGCCCCTGCTCCAGCTGCTCTTTAAGCTCCTCCAACGTTGCAGCTGCCACTTCCGCAGACATTGAGACAGATCATGCCGCTACTAGTCAATATCACCGTTCAATAAGGCAATAAGTTGATTGGCAGCATGCCCTGCTTCTTTAATCATCTTACTCGAAAATTCGTGTAAGTTGGATAAATGGCAGGCTCCCGGAGTGGCGGAGGTTCTTTTTATATTAATATTTTAAGAAATAATGGTTAACTGACATTTTTTATATTATTAACAAATTAAAATGATGTAACTAGTTATTATTGGTACAATTGGTTCAGTAAAACTCTTGCTATTACTTTTCAATGGCCAACTATGACAAAAGGGGGAGGAAGAGTGATGTGTGGTTTCAGAAAAGATATAGATAACTGAATAGCAATAATCTTGCAACAAGAAACAATTATATACAACAATCAATAATAATTTATGTTATAAAATCTTGTTTTTATTTCTGATTCCCTTTCAAGAATATCATCAATAATATTGGATCAGAGCTAACTTCAACTCTTGCACCAAGAAAATACATGAATAATGAGATTGTCAAAGAAATACAAAATTATCTTAACCTATTCAGAACTACTCATTAAAGAAGCTTTTGCTCCCCTCTATCCCCCTCTTCAATATCTCTCTACCCTACCAATACAGCACACATGGCATCTTCTTTTGGGGAGAGGTCTTCCACAAAGACAGACCTAAAAAGATTGCTGACCTCTGGTGGAAAATTATCAATATTAATATTAATATGCCCCAGATGTATCTGTCCCTGGCATGACCACACAACCCTCACTTGTTTGAGCTGTGCCCATGTATGGAGAAAAGCAGAGAAATGTGCAGTGTCAGATCACTACATGTGGGAGAGCATTTGTGTAATAACCTTGGGATTTAGTTGTCTTCTGGCAGAACTCTTAGGCTTGTTCCTACTATCACTATATGCTTTCTCTGGATTCTATTTAACCTCCAAGTCAAACAATCTATTGATGGGGAAAGTATATAAATAGTAACACATTAAACATGCAATTAAATAGAAATCCTGATGCCTAAGTTCTGATAAGTTTGATGGGCAAGATCAAACTTATTAACCACTGATCAAGAAAGTGATATTATCACTTAACCAGCAATTGAATAAAACTCACCAGGGAATGAACGAAAATAACAACTTATATTAATTACAGATTTATTAGAATTCAAAGAGCTATTCTAACTACAAGGATTATAAGGACAGATAGAATCAAATATTCTGAAGATTCTGAAGACACTGAAGACTAGACTGAAAACTATGTTCACTCTAACTACCATTTCACTATTTTGACACCATATCTCAATATATTGGGAGTGACACCAGATGTGGATATATCAGGTCATCTGTCCTGATGTTGTTGCTTGTGTGCTGTGCCACAGATCAGAAATGTTTGCAGAAATCATGGAGGAATATGTTGCCTTTTAGACCTAGGCTTAACAGCAGCTTTCTTGGCTTGCCCAACACCAGACACCCAACTAAGTTGCTAATTTCCCATCCATCAACAGACTGGGAGAATCATCCAGTCTGCTGCCCCCAGAAGGCCTATGTTTGGGAAAAGCCTACTCCCACAACAAACTCTCTCAACCCTATTTCTCTCCTCCCTTAGTTCACCCTCAAGAAGGAAGCCATCCTGGCCTCCAGTCAGATCAATCATAGATATAATCAGATTATATAATAAGCTCCCCCCATCTACCACACTTACCTGTCCCCCAGTGTTAGTGTAATGAAAATTTTTAAATATTCTATTAAGCTCAAACATGTCATATTTATAATGTGAAAAAAGCAGCTCTAGAGGTACAGTTATTACATGTGTTGCGGTCGGTGTATTCTTTGGGTGGGAGAGCCAATGATCTGTCGCGTAGGTGTGTTCACCGACAGGGGGATGT